AGCCACTCTGGGCTTGGACATGTCTTGGAAGGGGTGCTCTTAGAAGTGGGAGCCCCTCTCCTGACTCCTGGTTATGAGGAGTGACCACCATTCACTGTCTCACCCCGCGCCCACCCAAATCCATCTCCCGCCCCTCCCTGCAGGCCCCAGTGCTGTTGGTTCACAACACTCCACGGTTCATACCATCCACGACCTCAGGCATTTCTGCAGAAACATGGCTGTCTTCCCCAAACCCTGATTCGTTTTCCTCTTCCCCAACATGGAGGATGAGAACACTTTCCCTCCTTCCTGGCAGGTAGCTTGAGATCCTGTGACTGATTTCTGGCCAAATTGGATTCAGGAGGAGGTCAAGCATGGCCTCATAGGCTGACTTGGAAAAGCCTGTGCGACCCCCCCAGCCCTCTCTCTCTGCTACCTTTCTTACTGAAGTAGAGATAAAAGCTCAATTTCAGCTGTCAGTGGGAATTCTGCTGCCCCCAGGGGTTTAAATCCCATCCTGTAATAAGTGGGAAACCATCAAAGGCTTTACATGAGAGGAGAACCACACCCAGAACTGTATAATGGGAGGACTTCTGAGAGTCCCAGGAGCAAGAAGTAAGAACCAGCGAACATCTTCTGTAAAGGGCCAGACCGCAAATATTTTCAACTGTCTTGAATAATCTTCTTTGCTTTAGGTTAGGAATTTATACAGCTCCCACCCTCTTGGGGAATGGATTGGCTTGAGGCAGTGTGGCTTCCAGGACCTAAACTGCTCTTCTTGACTTGAAGAGGTTTGTCTGTGTCACAGGAAGAGGGGCCCTGCTCCAGACGTCCTCCTTTAGGGAACTGTTGCACTTGTCAGTAAGGTTCGAGCTGCACTGATGCTTAGAAAATCTTGCTTGCTTGAAAGAAGATGGGGAAGCTTTTAGGTGCATGTGTGGGGTGGAGAGGGAAGGGAGAGACTTGAACCATGGTACCCGTGGGATTACAGAGACTTTCCAGAAGCTGAGGACACCTCTCGTGAGGAGCTGGGTGAGACTCTGGGTAAGCTGTGCTGCTTCAGGACCCAGACGGCCACGTGAGGCTTGTGGTCATTGGGCCAGTTTTTCTTCTGGAGCCTAGTTTTGGGGAGGATGGGGGTGGGTGCCCTGGAGTCCTCTCCAGGAGGACCTTCCACGGTAGAGGCTGTGGAGGCGAGGGCTGGTGCAGACATCAACACAGGAACCGGGCATCATGGGTCACACCCAGGTTTTCTCAGAAGCACTCAGGGTGCACGCACAAGGAGCCCTGGAGACCTGCACGGACAGGTGGGGCTCCCCACCACTATTCGGGCATTAATGGAAATGTCCATTTTCTTCATTTGCAATCACAGATTTTAGAGATCTAAACACATCTACAGACTTGAAGAAATCACCCCAGGACAGGATATGTTTCATGTCATAAATGTTGAAGACAGGAAGATAAGAAACCACCTGCAGGTGGGGGCTCCCTGTGTTCCCCTCCGCCCCTGCCAAAGGCTCATCTCTGTAAGGCTGCTGCAAAACAACCGGGAACTAGAGGAGGGAAAAGTGCCTTCCTTTCTGATGGTGCGAGACACTTCCAGGGTCCTTTTCTTCCTCCCGCCAGCGGGGATCCACAGGTCTTCCGCTGCATCATCAAAGTCCACATGTTGGCTCAGAGGCCTTCACAATGTGATACCATACTTACCAGGAGAGGAGGGCTGGTGCTTTATGGCCATCTGCTTCGTGGGCCTCCTTTCAGTGACTGTGCAGTGCTGGGTCATAATGGAAAATGGGCATGACGCCGTTCATTTGAGAGGTCTTTAAAGATGAGGTTTCTGGGCTGGTTTCCTGATTGATTTTTTTTGGTAATGTTGTCACACTATCCTTTGAGGCCCTCACATTCCTCATGATTTACCTCCTTGGAGAGTAAATGAACTTCAAAGGATGCCTGGTTCTGATTCATGGGTCAGTTCTGGCCTTTGGCTCTTCCTCCATCCAAACCAAGGGCTTCCAGTGTGAGAGGGGCTGCGAGGCTCAGCGGCTCCGGGTGAGTGTGCTGGGGCCGGCTCTTCTCCACCCCATGGACTGGTGGAGTTCCCCGCCTTGGCTGGATCTGCAGGCTCCCTTCCTTCCAGCATCGGGATGCAGGAGGTCTGACCTTCAGTTCTCTGTGCTCCAGGGCTGCAGACCCCAGGAGAATGCCCACGCCTGCTCAGAAGGCACATGGGTTCAGCGTCTGCAGAGAAAGGACAGCAGGCTACATGTCTAGCCATTTAGCCGGCCCCCTTCCTGCTGCATGCGTGGCTCACGGTGTAAGGGCTTTATTTTTTACCCATGTGGATACTCCAATCAAGTATGAATTTCTGGGTCAAACTGGAGCTGGGTGCTCTGGGTTAGGAGTAGCCTGTTGCTGCTGCTGCTCTGGTTCTGAATTCATTCTCCTTCTCCCTCAGGCCATGGCAACAGCCCCCTGACTTCTCTCTGCTCCGGTCTTGTCCCTTCTGGGCCACACTTGTCACTGCTGTCTGCAGAGCTGCGAAGCTCCCCGACCGACTCCAGGGGTCCCGTTCACATTGTATGCTGTGAAGTTTGGGGGCACCACTGACCTTTGTGGAAGGAGCTGTCTGGAGTCTCGCAACGCAGTGGGTACGGGCTGACACTGATCTTTCTAAAATATC